AAAAAAACATTTTATTTTTGACTGAATATGGATTCATTAAATGTCCAGATAATTGTACTTTCATTCATCCAATGAACATTTATTAGCACCTATTATGTCAAGCACTCTGTTAGACACTGGAAATAATGAAATAAGAGACATGGTGCCTGACATCTTGAGGCTTAGACTGACAGGGATACAGTCAACTAAACACATGTGACAGTACATGTTTACATAATGGAAGTATGCACAAGCTATTTCATGTGCATAAAACTTCTAATTTTTCTGTATGTGTGGGAGTTGAAGCTTAAGTTATCTAAGTTACCCCTTCACGGAGAAAACTTTCTTTCATGGCAGGCAGTTTGGGTTATAAGGAGAAATCATCTTGAGAATGAAAGATGAATAGCTTATGTAAGTTTTTATATTTTAACCTTGTGTAATTGAGTATGAGAATTCCCAAACTCATATTTCTGAGAATATGGCTCCCTATACTATACCACTAATTCCTGGAAAACAAATTCTAAAAAAGGTCCTGTTTGTCACCATATTAGTGGCCCAGATCTTTGTATGAAAAATATGGTATGTGAATGTGGAGGCCAATGCTAGAGGATAAACTTTGAAAGAGGGTGAGAAAGCAGTGACTATAGGATGATTTGAAGAAGCACTCTGACCCTTTCTAGTCCTGACAGAGCTAGCAATGTCTCCATTTTGGGCACAGTTCTGAGATGAAGAAAAATGCCAGAAAAAAATATGAAGGATCATAGACTGAGCAAATGGACAAAACGAAAACTAATATTTCTGTTATTTTTTATAATTGCAATTTTATAATAATTTTTTACAGTTACATTAGAATTATAATGAAAAGAGAATATTTCTGTTATTTTTTAAAATTACTAATCTCTTTCCTGACAAAAGATCANGTTACATTAGAATTATAATGAAAAGAGAATATTTCTGTTATTTTTTAAAATTACTAATCTCTTTCCTGACAAAAGATCACAGATTGTGGTATAAATTCCTAAATATTTCCACCACAGCTTTTGTTTTGGTTTTTTTTTTTAGAATTTCATCTTAAATTACAAAAGTATTACAATACAATTTTTAAAAGTTAAAAACATCTACACAGGGCCGAGCCCGTGGTGCACTCAGGGGAGTGTGGCGCTGGGAGCGCAGCAGTGCTCCCGCCGCGGGTTTGGATCCTATATAGGGATGGCCGGTGTGCTCACTGACTGAGCGCGGTTCAGCTGGTCACAAAAAAGACAAAAAAAAAAAAAAAAGAAAAAAGAAAACATTTACACAAAAAATCAATCTTTCTCATTTCACTGTCCTGAAGCTATGGCAACTTCAGAATTTCCATGTAGGAATTTAAGTGTTGTGACTTGATCAGGGATGGGGAGATGGGGTGGAAAAGAACAGGAGACTTTCTTGGAGCTGTGCTGAAATAGCAAGCACACTATTTTTGCTTCTTTTTGTTTATGTGGAGTGGCTTTTGAGGGAACTAATGTAGATTATGGAGATTTAAATCTTTCTTTTAAATCACCTCTTAGTGCTGCCACTACTCTAAGGTAATCAATATTAAAAGTTTCATGATTATACAAACATACAAACACACATGTATGGGTTTTTTTCTTGTTATTTGGAAAAGGGCCTATATTCTGTATATTACCCTCTAACTTTTTATTATCAGTTCAAGGGCATCCCTCCAATATTATTATCAACATCTAATGCATACTGTCTACAGTTACAAAAACAATATTTTATTTTATTGATTAACCATAATTATAAACATCCAAGTTATATTTAGTATTTTACTGTGACAAATTCTGCTGCAACAAACACCCTTTGCGTTTATCATAGATACATGTGTTTCTCATTAAAGCAGGACAGTGTCCCCAAAGTAGTATTGTTAGTACAAAAGTATGCATATTTTAGATTTTAATAGACATTTCCATATTATTTTGTCCAGTTCGTAGCAATTCATACTCAAATGTACTAAGTCTGAGGCTGACTTATCCTCATTAGCTATGAATGTATTAGACTTTGTGCTAAACTATTGGGTAAAAAATATGTTATTTTTTCCATCAATTTATGTTTACCATTCTTAAAATTTACCTTTTAGTTTTCTAAGATAGAATTTTTATTCTTTAGATTTTTTTTTTTAAATAGCAGAAATGTGATTTTTCTAAAAAAAGTTTTCCCTTGAAACTGATNGTGCTGCCACTACTCTAAGGTAATCAATATTAAAAGTTTCATGATTATACAAACATACAAATACACATGTATGGGTTTTTTTCTTGTTATTTGGAAAAGGGCCTATATTCTGTATATTATCCTCTAACGTTTTATTATCAGTTCAAGGGCATCCCTCCAATATTATTATCAACATCTAATGCATACTGTCTACAGTTACAAAAACAATATTTTATTTTATTGATTAACCATAATTATAAACATCCAAGTTATATTTAGTATTTTACTGTGACAAATTCTGCTGCAACAAACACCCTTTGCGTTTATCATAGATACATGTGTTTCTCATTAAAGCAGGACAGTGTCCCCAAAGTAGTATTGTTAGTACAAAAGTATGCATATTTTAGATTTTAATAGACATTTCCATATTATTTCGTCCAGTTTGTAGCAATTCATACTCAAATGTACTAAGTCTGAGGCTGACTTATCCTCATTAGCTATGCATGTATTAGACTTTGTGCTAAACTATTGGGTAAAAAATAGGTTATTTTTTCCATCAATTTATATTTACCATTCTTAAAATTTACCTTTTAGTTTTCTAAGATAGAATTTTTATTCTTTAGATTTTTTTTTTTTTTAAATAGCAGAAATGTGATTTTTCTAAAAAAAGTTTTCCCTTGAAACTGATAATGGTCCCAGACTGTCACCTGAAATCAACATCTCTTTTCAGGCTCATATTTTGGGCCATTTCTAGATTAAATTTTACTTTATGGTACCAGCAAAAAAGTGTATGTTTCAGATCTACAGATATGAAGTAACATGAGAAATATTTCTTCCTTCTGCCCTCAAATCATTAACTAAGGTAAAAAGGCTTTTACTTCTTACATGCTTGGGAATCCTCTCATTTGTAGGATTCTGAAAGATCTACAAATGCTTTTAATAATAAGATTTCTCTATAAGATTGGAGTTTCTAAAAACAGCATTACAAACAAAGCATTTTTTATGACTTGCTTTACAGGCCTCATTACCCAACATTGAGGTGAATAGGTTCATGATCCAATATTG